TTCCCTTTTAAAAAAAAAAATAAACCTGGATAATTAAGATTAAGCTTAATAATGTAACTCTAGAGGCCTCTGGGTAATTAGAAGTTTCCTATGATTGACTATGTAATCAATGTAAAGATAATGTCTTCACTTAAACTTCTATACATACCCCAAAATAATTATATGAGCTACAAATGGTTAAAAAAAATGCTAGGAGTAGTCACTCATCATACCACAGAAGTAACTAATTTTCTTTTTCAGATAGGCACCCCACCAAATTCTATCTGATTGAGTACTTTTCTGTAATTTAAGACAATAATAAATCTATCTTGTCTACTAATGCCCCCAAAACTAAGGCACATGACATTTTTACTAACTCAGGTGTGTCTTAAGGGCACTAAGAAAAATTAAAAAATAAAAAACAGGATAAACCGATAAAAAGAGATGAGACATTTTGAAGAAATCAGATTTTTCAATATCCAAAGCAATTTGTTATAGAAGGATAAGATGAGGTAATGCATTTTGATTTTCAGAAAAAGAGGTCATGATGTAATAAAGATTGTCATTCCATATCAGATCTCTTTATTTACATTCTGAAAGAAGGTGTGGAGCAAAGCATAAATTTCCAAAGGATTACCTATTTTTCACTAAAAGACACAATATGTGAAGGAGCTGACAAGAATGTAAGTGTGCTCAATGTTGATCACCCACCCCATACTCAGGAAATATATTTGGAAACAGTATCAAACACTATTGCCTGATTTTAAAATACTCCTGGACTCCTTACTGATCAATACCTCTTAGAGAAAGGATAAGAGTATAGCATCTGAACTGAAACAGTATTATTAGAAAATGATATTTTGAGCATTAGGATATATAATTCATGTTGCTTTCATTTGCTCAGACCATTGTAAAAAATCCATAAATCATTTTCTTGTTCATGTATTGCTTAAGTGCAATTTGTCATTTTGCATTAAAGGGTTGCTTCAGCTCATCAGTGCTTTTAATTCACTGTTTAGAGTTTAACAAAATGATGGCCCTGTCTGATAACTGAAAAGACACTGAAATGTGAAGCCACACCAATATTAACAAGGTTAAACAAAATGGAAAAAACATTTCTACATTGAATATCAAGTAACACTTAATAGCTAGTATTCTCAGTCCCCCAAACAGGTTGGTTTGTTTTCCATTGGGTTCAAAGCATTAGAACACAGTAACTAAAGAGTTACCTGAATGCTTATAACATATAGCATGTATATGCTATAAATCTTTTCCAGCAACTCTCATCAATACTCACTCTCCTGGAGATGAACAAAAATGAACAGAATGGCATTGGTTCCAAAGCCTTGCCTTCCCACCTCTGAAGTTTGGATACACTGCTACAAATAAACCGATTTAATGGTTACCCATAAGAGCTGCCATACAGCCCAGGTCTTTTGCGTTTGCTCTCTGCACTGTGCTTGCTGGGAATAATTGCAGTGAACCACCCAGCTCAACCCTGGCAGGGGTTTGGCATTTGAAAGACTCCTTATTGACAATTTAAATTTTTTTTTTCCTTCTATTTCTTTAAAAAAGAATTCTCTCAAAGCTCTGGGCACACTGCAATAATAAGAGGATTTAGAAACAAATTGCTTTCAAGTCAAGTTAAATCACTGCAAACACTCATTCATCCAAATGCTAGTTAACAAACTTGTTTCCCTTCCGCCTTTCCCTGAAAAGCGTAGGGAGGAAAGCAGTCCCGTTAGTTAGTTTCAAAGTTTGAAAAAGAAAAAAAAAAAAACCAAAGTTTGTAACTACTGTGTACAGAAAACGTGACTGTGAGATTCTTAGCGCCCGCCCTGCCTGCTGCCCTTAGAGGACAATGAAATTAACAAGGATGGTTTATCACTCACACACCAACGAGGACTTCTATGAAGACTGATTTTGATAACCAAACCTCCAAATAATAATAATAGCTACTTTCCTCCATCTGTTTTAGGATACAGTTTGCGTTGGCACAGAGAGTTGGCTCCTGGAGGGGGCGTGGGGAGGGAGGAGGGTTATATTAGGGATTGCTTCTCCCCGCCGGTTTCAGTTACGGGAGCGGAGGGGGGTGAAGGACGCTGCATTATAAGATATTCTGTACTTCAAAGAGGTTGTCAGCCCCACCACCCGGTCTGTTATTTATGTAATCACGGCCTCACTAAATTCTGGGGTCCGCCAAGTGAAAAAGCAAAGGGGGAAATCTGCTCCATTGACAGGGCAACGAAGAAAGTACCCGGGTTTTATTTAAGAGGCATTTTTAAAAGACAGATTTAAAGTGCTGTTTTGTTCCTTGGGTGACGGGGTGGGGCTGTTTAATGGTGCCAGGGTAAGGAGGCAGAGAAGGTTGCTAAAGCCAATGTCTGAATCGCGGCCCGGGACAACATGCTCTTGCAATTACCCTTGGCTGGAGCAACGTAGAGGGAGGCGGACCGACGGCTCGCGCTGTTCTCATAAGAGGAAGACCCCGTCGTCACCCCGCCGATTCCAGGGCGCCTCGGAGACTTGAAGCCAGAGAGGCGAGACCTCTAGAGGACCCCGGCCGGCGTCGCCGGCGCGGATCCTAGCCTCTGCGACCCAAGAAATCCTGCAGAGCCCCCAACAGGCCGGCCCAGCCGAACCAGAGCCCCAAAGCAAAATTCGCTGGCTTGTCCTGTGCCGCTTTCGCCGCTAGGAGACGCCTGTAACCCACGTTTGTGGAGAGAGTTTCCCTTTCGAACACAACTGCTATCAAAAAAAAAAAAAAAAAAATGCAGCTCAAGTATTACAGTGGATGTAGTGATTATTTACAGGCAAATCTGGCCATCTCTCCACGTTCTTATCTCCACCTCTGGAAGCTCTCTGGCTCTAAGCGAACGTCCAAAGTCTGCTCAAACTTCATCTATGTTTTGAGAAGACAAAGCCCCTCCCGCAGTTTCTGGATCTGCATTGTCATTCAGCCGCATGCTTCTCACACGCAAACACGCGCGCACACACAAGTGTTTCCGTACGTGCAAGTGAAATATTAGAAAATTACCGTCATTTAAAAAATGCTCCAGGATTATTCTGATGAGTCAGCTTGAAGACCTCAAAACATTTCATTTCAATCCTGCAGATCTAAGGAAAAATCAGGAACGGGAGGGGGAGAAAGTACAGATGCAATGCCATTATTAATATTCAGATACACTATAATCTCCTTTTCATTGATCCACAGGTTCTTTTAAAAACTGACGCTCCATTCTCAGCTGCAGACGTGACGCTAAAATCATTTTAACTGCAGCGGTTTTCGCTGGGCTTTGGCCAATCGTCAGTTTACTGCAGCTGGAAAAGGATTAGCCATTTTTGCTGGCATCCTTTCCTTCCAACCGCTCAAAGGCTGGACCTGTCTCCATGAAAGAGCCAATGGGGGGCGGGGGGGCCTAGCAGCAGACAGGCACTCGCGGGACTCGCAGAGGCAAGTCTCAGTCTATACTCCCGGCCATGGCCACTCGCCCTTTTTAATTCCCTGCCAGGAGGGAATGACAACATACCTCAGGATCGGGCAAACGACTCTCCTTTTCCCGCAGGTTGTGGCGGTGTTACTCCCGGGTCATTCATTACCAGGAAGCCCCAAGGGATCTTTCTATCTTGTAGCATAAGAACGCAACTGAACAAGAGCTGCATTGGTTGAATAACAACCCCCTACAGCCCATTAATTAATACACAATTATGCTTTAAAAATCTTTTTGGAGAATTAACATTCAATCCACTCTGGCATTGAAGAGTTCGCGCAGTATTTTAACTTCACAAGAACTGGGTGCGTTTACCCGCCGCTTTGCCCCCGCGCTTCGCCGAGAGTGAGCACTCGGAGCTCCTCAAGCGCATCCTTCGGGGCCCTGGAGGTGTTGTGGGGATGCTCCGTTGGGGCTTATACAGAGCGGTGCGCGGGACCTTGCAGGATGGATGCGAGCGCCGTGGACGGATGTGTAAGCGCGTTCGCAGATACTCGCAGCCTCACACACACTGGGGCCCCGCGTGTGCACGGCCCCAGCCCACGCACCTACCCCCAACCCCGCCCGCACACGCGTTCACAGCCTCCCGGCTGCCCTCATCCTGCGGTCTTGCTCCAGGCTGGGCAAGAATCGGTGCTCGGGTCTAGTGTAGGGAGGAGGAGGAGATCGCCAATTGTCAGGAAAAAAAAAAAAAAAAACAGAAAAAAGCTTGTGCGCGCCGCCGCTGCGTTGCACTAGGCAGGGGGAGGCGCAGGGATATTCGAGGCGCCTTGCCGCGAACGGCAGAGCTCCGTGCCCGAGGCCAGAGAGTCAGCGCTAGGCTGGCGGGCTGGAAAGCAGAGCTCAAATGAAACTCCTCAGTGGTTGATCAAAGGGCTCACAGCTCAAACCAGATCCCCCAGCGAATTAATCTTTTGGTAAGATACTGTAGATGTAGTTTAGGAAGGGAAGAGGCGAGTATAAATCGTCTGCACGTCTATAGGAGCCGCCAGCGTTCATCCCTGGGCTTGCATCCCCTGGCTGTTTGGGACCCACCTCTGCTCCACACTCCAGCTGTCTCACCCCTTTTCCCCGCAGCCCCTTCAGACCTTCACACTTAGTTTGACACAGCCTACGCCATATCTGTTTTTAAATGTCTTGCTAATCTCCGCCAGGGTCCCTCAGTTTGGTAACCCCTGCCAATTAGTGGCCCCTCTGCAACTTTTTCCTGTTTTTCTCGGTGACTTATTTTCACGATGAGCAGCAAGGAAAACACCTTAAAGGAAAAAGAATGTTAGCGTCATTGGAAACCCCGCTCCTGGGAGAGGATACCGCTGCTGCTATTATGTTTTCGCATCTGCTGATGCAAACAGGGAAACCTCTCTATTCCCTCTCCATTACCTGCGGCTGGGGACTAGGAACTTTCCGTGGCAGAGTCCCCAGCTAGCACCTCGGGACCTGCCGGGCTGTTCTCGCTCTCACACTCACACTCACCCCGGCAGCACAGGCGCGGGTTCCATCCCGCCCGGCCCGGTTACTGCGTGACGCGCCTTCTTGACGGCCGGTTTGTCCAATTAGCTCTGACTCGGTGGGTGGTGCTCCTCGGCGATTGGTTGGCAAAATGAGGGCGCTGCGCAAAAACAGAGAAGCGGAGCGCTCGGAGCTCAGAAACTGCCAGCCGAGATCGCAGGCTCTAGGGCTGAGGCAGGAGGAGGAGGGAAGAACTGAAAAGCAGAGAGACAGGTTAGAGGAAAGAAGAGGCTTGGGAAGGAAACAGCAAAAAAGAAACTGCTCATCACAGTTACTGAGAGGCAAACGGCGGTGGAGATGAGGACAGAGAGAGGCAAGACTATGACAGCCAAAAAAGACAAATAGAGAGAAAGAGGAAAAAATGCCAAGAACATCCATCCGGAGAAATGAAGAGAATGAAAGTTTTATGCTGCAGAGCCATTCTATGCTTTTCCGGCACAAAATTCCCTCGCTGTTTTTAAGCCCTTTTGCATTTGCCAGCCGTTGACAGTAAGAGGCATGTTCAGCGGTGCCAACAGCATCTCCTCTTCCTTCTCCTCTTCCTCTTCATCTTCCTCCTCCTCCTTCTCCTTTTCCTCCTCCTCCTTCTCCTCCCATCAGCGAGAAGACAAACCGAGGACAGTCTTGAAATACCGAAATTTCCTCCTTGGGATTTGCCAGCGCCGCGTTGCGCCAAGACTGTCGGAATAAAGGACGCTGACTATTGTATTATTATTTTATTAATTGGTCAGTGGGAAGATTACAGATGAGGAAAGGGGACGCCTGTCACCCTTCCTGCTGTAAAATTTAAAAATGAGGTTGAATTGGGGGAAACCCTAAAATGAAGCAAAAGAAATAAGATTTGTAAGGACAGAAAGCCACAGAAGCCCCCCCACATAGCGCACTTTTATTTGTATTTTTTATTCGAGATTTTTTTTTTTTCCGTGGTGGTGGGGGAGGTGATTGGGTGGCTGACTGGCTGCGGGAAGCTGCTTCCTTTCCCTTTGGAGATGATTGTGCTATTATTCTTTGCCTTGCTCTGGATGGTGGAAGGAGTCTTTTCCCAGCTTCACTATACGGTGCAGGAGGAGCAGGAACATGGCACTTTCGTGGGGAATATCGCTGAAGATCTGGGCTTGGACATTACAAAACTTTCGGCTCGCGGCTTTCAAACGGCGCCCAACTCTCGGACCCCTTACTTGGACCTCAACCTGGAGACCGGGGTGTTGTACGTGAATGAGAAGATTGACCGCGAGCAAATCTGCAAGCAGAGCCCCTCCTGCGTCCTGCACCTGGAGGTCTTCCTGGAGAACCCCTTGGAGCTGTTCCGGGTGGAGATCGAGGTGCTGGACATCAACGACAACCCCCCCTCCTTCCCGGAGCCGGACCTGACCGTAGAGATCTCTGAGAGCGCCACGCCGGGCACCCGCTTCCCCTTGGAGAGCGCATTCGACCCAGACGTGGGTACCAACTCCTTGCGCGACTACGAGATCACCCCCAACAGCTACTTCTCCCTGGACGTGCAGACCCAGGGGGATGGGAACCGATTCGCCGAGCTGGTGCTGGAGAAGCCTCTGGACCGAGAGCAGCAAGCGGTGCACCGCTACGTGCTGACCGCGGTGGACGGGGGAGGAGGGGGAGGCGGAGATGGAGGAGGAGGCGGCGGCGGGGGAGGGGGCCTACTCCCCCAGCAGCAGCGCACCGGCACGGCCCTACTCACCATCCGAGTGCTGGACTCCAACGACAATGTGCCCGCCTTCGACCAACCCGTCTACACTGTGTCCCTACCAGAGAACTCGCCGCCGGGTACGCTCGTGATCCAGCTTAACGCCACAGACCCAGATGAGGGCCAGAATGGGGAGGTCGTGTACTCCTTCAGTAGCCACATTTCGCCCCGGGCGCGCGAGCTCTTCGGACTCTCCCCTCGCACCGGCCGGCTGGAGGTGAGCGGCGAGCTGGACTACGAAGAGAGCCCGGTGTACCAAGTGTACGTTCAAGCCAAGGACCTGGGCCCCAACGCCGTGCCTGCGCACTGCAAGGTGATAGTGAGGGTGCTGGATGCTAACGACAACGCGCCGGAGATCAGCTTCAGCACCGTGAAGGAGGCGGTGAGCGAGGGCGCGGCGCCCGGCACGGTGGTGGCCTTGTTCAGCGTAACCGACCGCGACTCCGAGGAGAATGGGCAGGTGCAGTGCGAGCTGCTGGGGGATGTGCCGTTCCGCCTCAAGTCTTCCTTCAAGAACTACTATACCATCGTGACCGAGGCCCCCCTAGACCGAGAGGCGGGGGACTCCTACACCCTGACCGTGGTGGCTCGCGACCGGGGCGAGCCTGCCCTCTCCACCAGTAAGTCCATCCAGGTGCAAGTGTCAGATGTGAACGACAACGCGCCGCGCTTCAGCCAGCCGGTCTACGACGTGTATGTGACCGAGAACAACGTGCCAGGCGCCTACATCTACGCGGTGAGCGCCACAGACCGTGATGAGGGCGCCAACGCCCAGCTAGCCTACTCGATCCTGGAGTGCCAGATCCAGGGCATGAGCGTCTTCACTTACGTGTCCATCAACTCCGAGAACGGCTACCTGTACGCCCTGCGCTCCTTCGACTATGAACAGCTCAAGGACTTCAGCTTCCAAGTGGAAGCGCGGGACGCCGGTAGCCCCCAGGCGCTGGCTGGCAACGCCACCGTCAACATCCTCATCGTAGATCAGAACGACAACGCTCCTGCCATCGTCGCCCCCCTTCCGGGGCGCAACGGGACTCCGGCGCGCGAGGTGCTGCCCCGCTCGGCTGAGCCCGGTTACCTGCTGACCCGCGTGGCCGCGGTGGACGCAGATGACGGCGAGAACGCCCGGCTCACCTACAGCATCGTGAGGGGTAACGAAATGAACCTCTTCCGCATGGATTGGCGCACCGGGGAGCTCCGAACTGCGCGCCGGGTGCCGGCCAAGCGCGACCCCCAGCGGCCTTACGAACTGGTGATCGAGGTGCGCGACCATGGGCAACCTCCCCTGTCGTCCACCGCCACCTTGGTGGTGCAGCTGGTGGATGGCGCTGTCGAGCCCCAGGGCGGGGGCGGGGGCGGGGGGTCAGGAGAGCACCAGCGCCCCAGCCGCTCCGGCGGCGGGGAGACGTCGCTGGACCTCACCCTTATCCTCATCATCGCGCTGGGCTCGGTATCCTTCATCTTCCTTCTGGCCATGATCGTACTTGCAGTGCGGTGCCAGAAAGAGAAAAAGCTGAATATCTACACGTGTCTGGCCAGCGACTGCTGCCTCTGCTGCTGCTGTGGCAGCGGGGGGTCGACCTGCTGTGGCCGCCAAGCCCGGGCGCGCAAGAAGAAACTTAGCAAGTCGGACATCATGCTGGTTCAAAGCTCCAACGTACCCAGTAACCCAGCCCAGGTGCCGGTGGAGGAGTCCGGGGGCTTTGGCTCCCATCACCACAACCAGAATTACTGCTACCAGGTCTGCCTGACCCCCGAGTCCGCCAAAACCGACCTGATGTTCCTTAAGCCCTGCAGCCCATCGCGGAGTACGGACACTGAGCACAACCCCTGCGGGGCCATCGTCACCGGTTACCCAGACCAGCAGCCCGACATCATCTCCAACGGAAGCATTTTGTCCAACGAGGTAAGGCTGAAGCGAAAGGACCACCATCTCTCATCTCCTCCATCCGAAAGCCTCCTCTAGCCCGGCCCTTGTATCTCTGGTACACTGTGTATTTATTTTTAGGATATTAGCTTCTTTGTATCTTTGTGGGGGCAGGAAGGGAAAGCTGCCTCTCCCACCCCTTCTTGTGTAACTTAAACTTCGTGTCGTCCCTAATTTTCTGCGCTCCACCCTTCCACATTTATTTTCATTGACCTCCTTTGGTGCTTTGCCACCTTGGACCCTCCTTCTTCCCTCTGGCATCTTTCCTTTAAAATCCTAGTCCCTTCACCCCACCCCACCCCAGTCCTTTCACTTCTTAGAAAGCTGGGGCTAAAGGAGAAAGTGCCCGAGGGGAGAGGGAAATGCAGGGAGGGACCTTCTAGCACTGGCAAAGGCCTTTTTTTTCTCTTTGCATTTGTCCCAGGCATAAAAAAGTTAATTGTTTGGCTTTGTTTATCGATGCCTTCAGTCGCGTGTAAAAGTAAGCTATAGATTGTTTAACTTTGCACAGTTGTCTAAACTCGAATGCATGTTTCAGTGATCCTTGTTCTCTGAACTCGGGTTGCAAAAAAAAAAAAGCCTTCAGTTCTACTCTGGACAGCATTTACAGACGTTCTTGAAGCCCAACGCCCACACAGTGTGAATTTGAATGAAGTTGCTTTGGCACAAACCCCTGTAAGCGTAAACTCACGGAAAGGCTTCAACAGTTGTTGTCTTACATATTCCTTTTAGCTAATAATCACCTTCTTGCCATCGTTTTTGATGAATCACTGCTGTTGGCTTTCTTCATCAAAGAATTTGGCTTGTCAATTCTGATTTCCTTTTCTAAGATGGAGAAGTGGCAAAGTTGAAAGGAGGGAGGGAGAGGGAGAACAGAGTTGATTTCTGTAAAAGAAAGTTTGGACCGGAAAAGGTGTGTGTGGGGTGGTGGAGGCGGGGAGGAGAATGCAGAGTGTGTTTGGAGCGGGAAAGAATTGGGGTCAGGAGGGAAGCGGGTATTATGAACTCCTTTTTTGGCAGGTTATTTTATTTATTTTAAGTCTTAGATATTATTCATTGACTTTCATGAATATTTGTACAGCTCATTTGTATCTTAAGCACATTTTGAAAATAAACAACAAAATTATTCCATAAAATATCCAACCTTTTTGCTTATTGAGCGTGCTGTTTTTCTTGTGTCAACCAGTATGCACCTAAACACATTTTTAGGCCACTGAAAGAAAGACTGCACCATATATCTAGGTTGACTCTATTGGAGACAATAGTTTATGAGGGCCAGCTATGAGGTTATTTGCATTCTCTCCTTAAAACGCACACACACACACATACACATTTAAAATTGGCCTTTTATTTGTGTATTTTTTTAACCTTTACTGAAAATCTAGATATGCAAAATCTGCATATCTTCTTGCCTTTACTAGCACTAGTCTTTATAATAACTAGTCTGAGATCTTAGAACAGCTTAGAAATTCCTTAAAAATGTACACAATTACTTAAGCTAGAAATAGTTCCTAACCTCAAAATCAGACTGTTAGGTCAACCCATAGCGTTCGAATGCTCTTGATTTATTTATTTTTTTTCTAGACTAAACATCAGCGAGCAGAGCTCAGCTATCTAGTTGACAGACCTCGCCGAGTTAACAGGTATGGACTCCTTTTTTTTTTTTTTTCCTAGCTTGGTGTATAGACAAATTGCTACCTACTAAAAGTAGGAATTAGGTATATTATTCAATATCAAAGTAGAAAATGATTGAGTATTTCCAATTAGGACAGGACATAAATATTGATTATATTAGGTTTTCTAGACAATAAATTAAAAAATATTGGTGTGTATTTTTTATATACAACCACTAAGTATATTTGAATATTTTTTCAGTTTACACTCTTACACTGCTTCTGATAATCTTCCTAACTATTCCAGACATATACATATATATCTGTCCTATAAAAATGATATAAACATATGCTCAGCTCCAATCATAGAATAATGATTGAGCTTTACATGCCTTAAGGGCTCAAACTGACTGCTGATGCTCAGGGTTGGAGAGTTAGGCTTAAGGTTTTGAAAACTAGCTTTAAGCACAAATCAAGAGCTATAAGCATCTGCAGCACCATAGGTGACCATGCGGTGGCAGAAGAATGTTTTCTGTGTTTCTTCAGTCCTTTTGATTCTAACATTCACATTTTTGTACTTCTAGTTCTGCATTCCAGGAAGCCGACATAGTAAGTTCTAAGGACAGTGGTCATGGAGACAGTGAACAGGGAGATAGTGATCATGACGCCACCAACCGCGGCCAGTCAGCTGGTAAGTGTGACTAAAGGGCGATGCTGACTCTTATAGTGGATTTTTAAAAAATAAATCCTCAGAGGATGATGTTTTAGGTAGTTTTCAGTGTTAGTAAACCTACAGAAAACTGGTGTCATCCTATGTTGACAATTGTATACTCAAAGGGATTTGTAATACAGTCTAATGTTCCTTTAGAGAATGAACGTTAGAAATTCATTGCGGAATACGTGAGACCATGAAACATTTCTTTTTTATATCATGTTCTTTCCGGGAATTATATTGTGTACAAAGGACATAGATTTCTCACCTGGTCCAGTCCCCAGTCTTCAGTCAATTAAGCTATTATTAGACTTGCTTATGGATGAAATAACAGAAGGTGAATGAAATTGGTTGACCCGTACAAGGTCACAAGAGGAAAAGTGAATGACTGGGAAGCAAAATCCAAATTTTCTCATTTCCAGAGCAATGCATTTTACATACCACTGAACACTGATGAGAGAAGGAATGGTGATTGAAAGTCATGAATAGATTGAAAGCAGGATTTCCAAATCTGGGTTCTTAGGCTTCAGGACACTAGTAAACACTTGATAATGTGCATTTTCTGAGGCATTCCTCATATTTCCATGTTCAAAAGTTGACCTCTGGGTGTATTTGCTTGTAAGCTTGAAGGTATTCCCTGATGGGAGTTACAATGTGATACATATTTTTTACTTTGTTTTACTTTATTTTACTTTACTCTTCTCCTGTATATATGTCCCCTTTAAGTTTTATAGAATCCTGATAACTCTAGTTACTAATAATTAAAGAAAACACTGAAAAGAAATAAAATATGTACCTTAAAATAATGAAAACAATTTCACAAGGTTTGGATTTTCTTTCTACTTTGTTTGCATTTCAACTATGAAGGATGCTTTTTGAATTTTTTTTTAAACTTTTTCTCTTTCAACTGAGTTTTGTGTTTATCTGACACATGAAGCAAAGCAAAGGCAAGCTAACTTGTGTCACTTCTAAAAAACGCCCATCGTTCGACTGTATGGAGGTCCAACTTCATTCACTTGAGCTTTAAGCTCTGTCGTGATTAGTGATTAAGCCATGGGGGGATAGGGTTCTCCTTCTCAAGGTAACTGATCCTCGAGAGCACCCATTCCTTCACACACTCCATGGGCCTCCGAAAGATGTTGAGGCACTGTGTCAAAGGGCAGTGCCCGCCCCACCGTCGCCTGGCAGCAGGGGTGGCAGGCCTCACTTGGCTCATGTGTGGTGTGTCTGAGGCTGCCTTGGCCTTGGGAAACACAGGCAGGAGGAGGGAGAGAAAAGACTGCTCAAGGGTCTCTTTATATTGCTGCAAGTCATTAATATGCAGACCTAATGAGACTTGAGAACTGCCAAGAATCCCCGGAGGTCCCTGCCCCTTGCGGGCCTTCACGCTAAGTGAACAGAGCATCTATTTAGTGTCTGGGAACCTGACAACAAACCAGATCTTGCCAGAAGTTTATATTTGAGTACAAAGTCCCTTTCATTTTTGGCCTATATATGACATATGATTTATTGTTATCTTTTAAAAGGTGTATGTTTGGAATTGCTCATTCTTATTCTTTTTTTCAGTTTCTAATTCATAGTCAGCCTTTTAAAGCTTTGAAAACAAAATGTTTAACATTAAAAAAAGAAAATCCCCGCTGCATGTTTCCTTGGGTGTATTTTATTCCTTTCCCACCCACCCCCCTTTTTTTTTTCTGTAGCACTCCAGTCTCAATGAACATTTCAATTAGTTTAGTTCCTTAGACATAATGAGCCATAATAACTTAACTGAAGAAAGAGAAAGGAATAAACATCTGCAAAAAGTGCTAAATTTGGAAGCTGGATGGGAATATGTTCTTATCAATGTGCCTTCCCAGCAGCCCTTTTATTTCACAAGCACTCAATGTTGCCATTTTGGTAATATTACTTACAAATTATTTGAGATGTCAAAACATTTGAAAATGTTAAATGCTAAACTGTATTTGGAAAACATGTTTAAAAGCAGGGTAGTTTTCATTTTTCTTATCAAAATGGCAAATTCTTTTTTTCTGTCTTTAGGTTTTTAAGATGTAAAAGTATTACAGAGTTAACAATCTATGGATCTATTTCATTAGCATTTATAAGATTGCCACAACATACTGGGCACAATGATAGCTGTTTTTGAATTGTATTAACACATTTGTATTAAGAAATAATTACACATTTGTGTGCTGAATTGCAGTCAGATTTAATGTATCTAGTTTTATTGTTAAAATGATTTTGCATTGTTTACCTTTTAAAGTATAAAACCCTAAATGCAGAGAATTAAGATGCCTTTACTTAATGACTTTTTTCCAGTCCATTCTTTGTTGTGTACTATTAACTTCACACCAAGGAGCTAGAGTATTTCCTAAAAGTTAAGCCTATCTCAGGCAAACAGGTACATCTGCTTCATTTCCTTGTACAACTAGGTATTGATGATCTTCCAATTTTGCGATATTTAGAGAATATTCTTCATAGCACATCTGTTTCCAGGTTTAGGATATGGAAAACTTTGGAGCTAATAAGCAAATCCCACTCAGCTTTAGGTTTTAAAGGGGAAAGTTCGACTATCATGGAAAAACAACACTGAAAAGATATGAATTCTGAATTCTCTAGTTTGTACCTCATTTCATGTTACATAGTATACACTGTCTAGTTTAGTTCTTCACCTGTTTAAACTCCCTAAGTCTTTATTTATTCCCGCTTTCATTTTCTGTGTTAACATTAATTTATATTTATTTATTTGGATATGCCTTCCGTTTATTCTTCTATGAATAGTTTTCTTTTTTGTTCTTTCTCCCTCCTCCCCACTTGCTTTTCTCCTCTCTAAGCCATTTGCAGTCACCAATCTTGTTCATAGAAGGGCTTTAAACACGAAGGCAGCTGCACAGAGAATCACATAAGCTTTTTCAGTTTTCCACTGCACCTGGCTCCATGGGTGGAATTCCTCGACGTGACCACTGGTCTGTGGCACTTTCTTTCTATAGGCTTGTCAAGGTGCTTTCCGTTTATTTCAGTGCACTATTGATGTATTGGGTAGGTATGGCAGAAGTCCAAGGAGATGTGGTAAATGCTTGCATAAACCATCACAAGGGGAGAAACTGATTAATCACAGCGTAAATAGCCAAAAAAAAAAAAAAACAAAGCCAAAATGAACTTAAAACTAGTACATGTTCAATTTTATAATACCATTAGGTTAAAAGATAGATTTTTTGGTCTGATTTAAATACTGATACATTTTTAGCTGTATAGTCTTAAACATTTTAGTATTATCCGAGTAGATCTAAGATCTATTTAGCTGTAAGTAGTTGTTTTTTCCCCCCCATTTATTAAGTACTTACAATGTGCACACTAAGATTAAATTTGAATTTATTTTTAATAATTTACCTTCTTAAAATGTATATTGAAGAAGAAAACCCTCATAAGTTAATGTTACTTGTTATAGTCTACCTGAAAATTTTCAAGTTTCTCTTTTTCTAAATTTTCTTTTATTTAAAAGACAGCTTAGCTTCTAAATGTGTTTATTTCTTAACTAATTATTATGAGACTTGTACATGACACATGTTCAAAACTAGAGTATAAATTTTAAAAGTGATTTATATTGTCAGTGTTTTCATACTAGTAGATAAACATATATCATGAAATAAATTAAGCCATTGTACTACTACTGCAATATCAATAAGAATTTTCGGCCTATCATAAAGTTAAAAATTTCCCTTTCTCAACTCAAAAAAGAATTTAGATACTGGTAATTAGCTTCTGGCTTTATAAATAAGGTGAATTTATACCATAATCTGAATAAGCAAAAGCTTTTTTTCTTTTTCACCAGGTTTCTGGTGAAAATATGAGCTACAACTAGGTAATGCAGTGACACAATTGAAAAAGATATAAGACAAATATTAAGAGAAAATGGAGAAAAATATAAACATATTGAAATATGTTAGGTAGTTAGAAAATTTTGATCTGCATGTTTTGATTTTTTCGTAGATGAGTTATGTTGTAAAATCTCTGCTCCCAAACCAAACCAAAAACTACAGAAATTTTGGTGATTATTGTTAATATCTCTAATTTCTCCAGTGTTAAATAATTAAAAGAAGACTTAAAATTTTCTCAAAAACATGTGTGTTGATTTTTTAACTAATTTATCATATTTGGGGAAAAGTACATTTTTTTGAAGGCTTGTTACATGAGAAAGGTCCATGTAATTTTATTGTATTGAATTCATCAGAAAACAGAACAAATTGACTATAATTACATTTTTGAAACCACAGTTTGTTCTCAGTGGTAATATCACAGCCTCTGACTATAAGGGATCAAGTTACTTGCTAGTGTAAAAAGATGTATTTTAAAATTTGTCTAAATATATCTCTATATAACAGGCAGTCTATCACTTCAGCTGTCGTGCCATGTAGAACAGACCATTTCTGAGAAGTGGGAAAAAAATAAATTGCAAGAAATTGCAAATAAAATCTGTATGTTGAAATGTTTCTTAGGAATGACCAAAACTTCATAACTCAGGTGTGGCCTGTAGTTTTCTGCTATACAAGTCTCACGGGTTCTAAAATAAGGGCATTTGAATGAGAAAAAAAAATGACAGTTGAAGTTATTTTCTCTTGGGCCTGCAACTTGAGATGTTAAAAATTTCCAAAGCAGTGTGAAAGACACGCATTTTTAAATGTCCCTTGTACAGAAATACTTGGCATTCCGGTCCTTTGTGCAGTCATTGACCGCCACAAAACTTAAACATACCTCTGCTTGTCTGGTCATTAAAATAATATACTTAATGGGGACTAGTGATATATGAAAAATGATAAAGTCATTTTCATTTTTCAGTGCTCCCTAAGGTGAGGCCAGGTAATGGGCACAGTTTATTTGGTTCTCAAACTATACATTTGAGACGAAAAAAAAGATTTTTTTTCAATGAATACTTCTAAAACTTATGAAATTTATTGATATACTTTTTATGTGATTAAAAAAATTGTTTCTACGTCTGATATTTTCCTCGTGAGAAATTAGTACACTTGTTTTGTCGGTAAAACGTGTGAAACATATTAATGCCATCTTCCCTCTCTTTGTAGTTTACATAAAGCTGTGTTATCACTATGGGGATCCCACTTTAAAAGGAGTAGCTCATAAGTTTATGAGGAACATTATGTACAAGTGTTGTTCCCCTTTCAGGCAGGTAACACTGTTTATCCAACAGAAAACTTTATCATGTTTCTCACTTTTCTTGTTATGCACATAATTTTTTTGTACAGGTTTTCAAGTCAGAGGACTTTATTTCATCATCTAAGGGAATTTTAACTAGCGTCTAATAAGGCAAAGAGGCAGAAAACCATACACTTCAAGAGAAGAAATTTAGCACAATTGAATATCAACTAGCCATGAAGACAAGTTCTAATAAGACCTTCTAACATCTCATAAAAGTACCTTCTAACATCTCCTAAAAGTACCTTCAAATATCTTAAAGATAATGCAGAGAATAGATCACTGAATTTTTTCTGTGTGATTATCATATTGAGAATTATAAGAATTCTTGGGTACAGTGCTCAAAAAGATGTGAAATAATATTAATGGTCTCATGAGGTGTATTTGAAAGGGTTTCATCAGTTATGTGATGAAAAATTGTATTAATTCCAAATTTTGCATTAGTACCCATCTTTATCAGGATCTGATAATATAATTCTATCTTAATATTTGAATTTTTCCATCAACTTCAAATTTAATATGATATAAATGTATTTTTAAAATAATTGCTCATAATTGACTTTTAATGGTACTTCCATCTGTCAAAAAGACCTTTTATTCCTTATCACACTATAAATTGGGAGTGTTTAGAGTACAGTGCATCAAAATACAGATCTCTCTGGTTCTATAGCTTCTAGTTACCTGCTGTGTCAGTGTGCATCGGGGATATTCTTCTTCCCTTCCTCTTTTTTTTTCCCCCCTAATACCCATCTCCTTATAGGAATAGGATAATTTAACTTCCCTGGTGTCTAGAAAATAGTTGACCTGTTTTACTTGCTGATCTTAGTCTGATTCCTTATCCCAGCTTCAACTCACGCTTATGTTCCTCAATAATGCACTGATCAGTGATTTACTTCTGGGTTTATGCATGACAATTATCAATAGATTATTATAATCGAAGTCAGATTTAGTATTATACATGCTGCCGCTGCTGCTATTTAATCGCTAAATCCTGTGAGACTCAGTGTGACCCCATGCACTGTAGCCTGCCAGGCTCCTCTGCCCATGCCTCTTGCCTAGGATTTCCCAGGCAAGAAAGCCGGAGTGAGTTGCCATTTCCTTCTCGAGAAGATCTCAGTGCAAGGATCAAACTCGCCTTTCTTGCATCTCCTGCGTGGCAGGCAGATTCTTTACCAATGAGCCACCTGGAAAGCCCCAGCATTATACACAGTTTAATTTAAAATTTAAAAAGTCATTATAACATGAGATTAATATATGATAAGAAGTTTGGTGTTATTTCTTTAAACAATTTACATAATTAATTGTTTTAAACTCCAAAATACTTGAGGATAATCTGGGGGCTTAGTAATTATGAAAAATTGATTTCTTTGTATTATATAAAGAGCTGTTAAAATATGCACATAAAAAGTAAATGATTGTGTGTCAGCATTTTACAAACTAAAACTTAAGAGCTCAAATCACTCATAATATTTATAGAAGAAACAATCAAGTGTTTTCATTACACTCTCTTGATTAAAAAAATAATCTGTGGTTTTTCCACACCAGGCATTTCATGCATTTGAGAGTTTCTGACATATGGAATAATCACTCTTTGGTTATTTCTAATTGACCCTATTTTTAAACATATTTAATAAACGCATTGCTCTGTCTAGAAACACATTAAAATGTGATTTTTGTTTGTGTGCTTACTTTTTTTACATAACACTAGTTATCAAATTGAATAACAGATAGTATTCTGTAGTGCTCCAAAATGATATTTTGCTTAAGAATCTAAGTGAGCTTTCTTGAGTCATAAATATCAGTTTAATGTTCTTGTCAGCCTACAGGAGACAATGAAACTTGAAGATGTCATTTGAAATCTGGGTATTCTAGGATCAGTAAGCAAATATTTCTGTGTTGTCTGGGACAATTGTTTTCCAATATAGAACAAGTAATAAGGTTTTCGTCAATAGCATCTGCAGCTGACTCACCTTGCACTTGGTTACCTTGGTTTCACTAATTACAGTCATTTGTTCTGGGCTTGTCTGAGTGCTAAATGATAAGCAGTTTGTAGTAATATGGACTACAAGAGTGTCACTGAAAAATAACTTGTAGGAAGTCATTTTCTAAGAACCTAAAAAGCATGCTCTTGGCCACTCTTGTTTTATTCTTATTATTTATTGGTATATCGATATGTATACCATGTTTCTGCTGAATTTCACTTTTTATTTCATGTCTAGATCTTATTATCTAAATATCATCACTCACGCTTCCCATATTTCTTCCATTTTTGTCTCTAAGGAAAAAAAATATGGCTTGTCATCATTAGAAATTACCGGTAATGAAGGCTTTTCCGCTTGGGTTTTGTTTTTTCTGTTACAAATTTCAGAGATTTTCTTTTTTTTTTTTAATATTCATTCTCACTATTTTCCAATTATTTAAATAATTTAGAGTTAATATTTTCTCTCAGCATCCTGACCAGTTTAGAAACATCTATCTCAGAGCCCTGTGTGCCAAGAGTCCTACCCTTTACCAAATAATATAAAGCGATTTGGGGCTCCTGTCAGGTTAACACAAGAAAACTCTGTTAAGATACCTTTACCCATTACTCTTTACATCGCCTGTAATTTTTCACTTCTAAACTGGGAAAATTCCCTGGAGGAGGGTATGTATTACTGGAGTATTAATACTCTGGTAATTACTGGAGTATTAGTAAGGAGTAATACTCCACTCCAGTATTCTTGCCTGGAGAATCTCATGGACGCAGGAGCCTGGTGGGCTGCAATTCACAGGGTCGGAAGGAGTCGGACACACTGAGCAGCTGGGCGCATACCCAGGCAGCTGGTCCTGTTGCTGAAGCCTCCATCCGTAGCTTCTGTTTTCTGCTCACAGGTATGGATCTCTTCTCCAACTGCACCGAGGAATGTAAAGCGCTTGGCCACTCAGATCGGTGCTGGATGCCCTCTTTTGTCCCTTCTGATGGACGCCAGGCTGCTGATTATCGTAGCAATCTGCATGTTCCTGGCATGGACTCCGTTCCAGACACTGAAGTGTTTGAAACTCCAGAAGCCCAGCCCGGGGCGGAGAGGTCCTTCTCCACCTTCGGCAAAGAGAAGGCCCTTCACAGCACCCTGGAGAGGAAGGAACTGGATGGACTGCTGTCTAATACACGAGCGCCTTACAAACCACCGTATTTGAGTAAGTATTACATAAAAGGCTGTATCAAAGTCTTCCCTTTCAGGAAATAAAGTTCAACATGCCATTCTTCTTAGTAAAAATAGAATTCAGGTTGTTTTCGAAAACAAAGATGAAAGTGACTCCGGGATGCAGGCAGCACTTTACAATACAAAAATGAATATACTTAACGGGAAGACAGGTTCCTGGGTTAGTAGATTAAATCAAACATAACTTCTGATCTTGTTGAAAACATTTTTCAAATGATCTTCATATTTCCTTTGAATATTGCTCACATGTTTACTTGACTTCCATGTGTTTTGAAGGGCTTATGTAAGGTGGAAAAACATCTCTTGACACAATTCACAGAGAAATTTTGTTTTCTTATTGATACAGCATTATTGCTTAGTCATCCTTTCCCCATAAAGACATTAAACATGTTAGGCTAAGTTCAGAGTACATTGAAGCCATCAGTTTGATAATTTTGCATAGTTTAGTAATATGTTGGCATGGATTCAAGTCACTTATCAGAATCAGAGAAACTACATGATGAAAGCATATCAATACAGCAATATTATTCATTTATTTACAACAATAGGTTCTTCTTCTAATATTGAGACTTTGATAATTGTACTTAGCTCTTTCGATTCTGGGACCCTAGTCTCTAAGTGGATTATTTTATACAACCAGTTGAATAACAAATGCTTTAGGATTATTTAGTATATTTTATTTGAGAGTCTTTGTAAGGAAATCATTCCATTTATTCTCTGCTATAAAGGAATCTTTACTTTTTAGTTAATAGTTAAATACCACTGATGATTGAATATTTTGATCAAACCACGTCAACTAATATTTGATAAGAATGGAAATTATAAAAACTTAATCAAAAGATGATTTTTATCTTGTACAGCAAATCCAATGTACATGTCATTTTCTTACTTTCATCTTCCAGTGCAAAAAATAAAAATAATGGAAATATAAATTAGAAACAAAAATGAGCCACTGCAGATATATCATTTCTTTTATGACTTATGAAGTGGGATGAAAAAAATACTTAAATGGAAGAAAAAAGTAGAAGAATTTAGCCCTTTTATGTAAATATGAAAGTTGTGGATTAAATACATGGAGGATAAGGATATGACTACAACTCTGGATATTGATAATAAGAGTTAGTTATTATCTTACGATTAAAAATGTGAATCTGCCATTGAATACATGCATTCTGATAGCAACAATGATCAAATTGTGTATTTAGAAGGATTGCATTCAGTTTTTCAAATTACTTAGGAATACCATTACCCCAGAATGACATAGTATGTTAGCATTTCAGAACCAAATAATTATGCCTCTCTATAAATTATTGATATTTGTTTTGCTTCATTTTATAGAGTTATGAAATATGAGGGCACAAATACTTAAAGAAAGTATTTTGTTGAACTATCTAACAAAATCCCTTATAGATGTAATTTGGATGCTAAAATCCTAATGTCTAACTTATACATCCACATACACTATGATTTAAAGCAGCTTAAATTCAAATTTTAATAAATAAGGACAATGATTCACTCTTTGCCCCTCAAACTAAATTCTGGATTTAAAATTTTACCTACCAAAGTTTTCCAAATTTAAAACAACATATTCTCACTAGTGTTTCACTTAAACTAAGAATATATACTACAGAGATATATTACCAGTAATGTCAAGGCAAAAATTCAAAGTGTATATGATTCAGAGTAATTCAAATGTGTGTTTCTAAATAAATATATAATATTTTCTGTTAGCATATATTAACTGGTAATTCTACATTAAATATAGTGAGAAATCAGTTCACCCTCTTTAACTCTTAGTGAATACCAACCTTGATGAAGTTACATTTACATTACAGAACTGAAATTTTGAACATCTATAAAAGTCTTTCTCTACTGACTAGTTTTTCTTTTTAACTTTAAAAATCATGGTAACATTTTTTGTTGATAAAAATTTTAATGCTGCATATATTATAATGCCAGTGTCTCTACTTTAGGAGTCTAGTATTTTCACTTAGATCCTTGATTTCAGGGATTATGAAATATGTTATCAGTTATATGTGCTGCTAGAAATCAAAGAATGCATGTATTATTTTACTAGGAAAATTAAGATTTTTTTGCATATTATCCAGATGTGTATTTTAATCAATTAATTTTTAATAGCAATTTATGTCTTCTGTTTTAGTCAGCTCAGCTCACATTGCTCAAAATTTAGGGTTTGAGGTAAAGTGTGACCAGGATGAAAAAGAAGCAGAAAATTAGCTATTTTGCTGGTTTTACTTATACTCTCCTCAGTTCTTCATATAACTTTAGTGATATCTGAACTTTTTTTAACTTCCAGTGTTTAATGTCATCTTAGACACACAGTTATCTTTAAAATTACTTTGTGCCTCTGACTTAATAGGAATAGTCAATTTTATGATTAATCTAACCATACAAACTAAATCAGAACCATTCATTCCTGGCTATTTTGCCCCCAAATTCACATAGTGGTAGCTGTTAATATGTGTATCATTTATCATCAGTAATGGAAATATTCTCATCTTCTAAATTGAAAAGTGCGTCCCTTATGTTACTAAAGAAACTAAAAATTAGCACTAAATACCTTTTTTAAAATCAGAGTGTTAAAATAATTATTGAGAAAGCAGTTTTACTTTTGCTAAACATACATTTAGTTTTTAAATGAACATAATGTACATTTTGATGTTAAAAAAAGTAGCTGTATATTTACTTTTGTGAAACCCTAAAAAAAGCCTTATGAGGCTAGTACTATCATTTACAAATAATCCCAGGGAAATGGTGATACACTTAATAATACAAATGAGGTCATTTTCTGTACCCAAGAACTTTCCATTTCTCCACCTCTGATTGCTAGAGTTAAAATTACAAATTGGAGGGAAACAACTTTTACACAAAGTGCGTATATACATGTTTAAAAAATATACTTTGTGTTTCTAAAAAACTACCTGTATTCAATTTTATTTCCTCCTTTTTCAATGTGTAAGAAAAGATCCATGAAGAGTATATATAATGCACTTAATGAAATGGAACTTACTTTTTTTAATCAGGAGTAATTTTGAACATATCCGTTAATACTTAACATTGTTAGTCATGAGCTCTTTACGAGCATGCCTTCTCTTATTTTCGTTATGTTGTAGATTTCTAATACTCTAGTAAGGATCAAAGGAATACACTGAAAGATTGAGAAAATAAATTTAAACATGTAGAATATGGTCATACAGTGTTTAGATTTTAATCTTAAAGTGTTAATAAATTTTAGCTTAGCTTTACCTTTAATTTTTACTAGAACAATAAAAAATATTAAAATATAACTTTAACTTTTAATAAAAGTTAATCATTGTTTTCAACACTTGCTAAAATGAAATAAAAATATTCTCTGGAGTTTAAAATTCCTTATATTCTTTCATATGGAAGTCAATAATTTCTTTAAAACTATAGACATGTTATTTAAAAACAACATGTGTTTCAAGTGACATGGTAAGTTAAACATAAACTAATCTAGATAGTCTAAGCAAATAAGGAACATAAAAATAATTTAAGTTCAAGAATATAACTGGAAAAAGTTATATTGTTAATGTAATTTAGAAAAGCCCAATATTTAAAATAATATATTTAATATTGGGGACTTCCCTGGTAGCTCAGACGGTAGAGTCTGCGTGGAGTGCTCAAGACCCAGGTTCGATCCCTGGGTTGGGAAAATCCCCTGTAGAAAGAAGTGACAACCCACTTCAGTATTCTTGACTGGAGAGTCCCCATGGACCGAGGAGCCTCAGTTCAGTTCAGTTCAGTCGCTTAGTCTTGTCCGACTCCTTGCAACCCCATGGACTGCAGCACTCTAGGCGTCCCTGTCCATCACCAACTCCCAGAGTTTTATTCAAACTCATGTTCATTGAGGCAGTGATGCCATCCAACCATCTCATCCTGTGTCTTCCCCTTCTCCTCCCACCTTCAATCCTTCCTAGCATCAGGGTCTTTTCAAATGAGTCAGAGGAGCCTGGCTGGCTATAAAGAGAAGTTGCAAATAGTCGGACACGACTGAGCAACTTCACTTTCATTTAATATTATTTTTGTAATCTTTCTTGCTCATGATTTTGGCTTCACATTTTGACATTCTCTCTCCAGATTTTTTTTTTTTTTTTTGGTCTGAAAGCAAGTATATCTTTCAGTTTAAATCAGGCTAAACAATACAGTACTAAAGATATAAGGATTTGTGTTTTGGAAACCTGTTGATTTCTTGTCAAAAACATAATCGTTCCCTAAGAATTGAAGACAATTATAAGATAAATGACTAATGAAGTTTCATCTAAAATGTATTTGTGAAATATTTCTTTTATTTGTTTAAAGAATCATACAAAAATAAATTATTCTGAATAGAGTGAAAAAGCCTACATTGATATCATGATTTTTTAAAAATCCTAAATCCAGGAAATTCTCTACGATCCTAGGACTGTAGGAAACCATCTATTGAAAAGTGTTGCAATTGATTCTGTTTTCATATCAAATAACACTTAGAGTGGTCCAGACGTGTCAAAAAATCACTCTAGCTGTCTCCTGACTTAACTTTGTTTTTGCCTACTTTGGAGTCCTTTTGAAATTTCAACCCAAATCATACATAACATAGCATTAAGAAAAGATGTCAGAATTTGGAAACATTGCATTTAAAATATTGCTGTCACTTTAGCCTATACTTTTCATTGGTGACCATCATTTTAGGAAAAATTCTTTTTGGTATCTATATTATTTCTACCTAGAACTTTAAGATTTTAGTTTTTTTAAAATTGTAGAGTTTATTTTATTGAGTCACACCTTTTCCAGTCCTTTCATTATTTTAGTCTGCCCTCTGAGTGTTGAAGACAAGATTGTGTAGGAGCATATATAGAATTCAAAATAAAATGACTTTTCTTAGCAGTACAGATTACCCTTATATCCATGTATAGTGTTTTCTTTGGGATTTGTATGTTCCTCTAATGTCATAAA